AAACTCTTCTGTGAAGGTGATGAACAGTCCAAGGCTCACAGCTTTGGCTGTGTTTGGTAAAGCTGGTTATTTGCCTCTAAATGTCACAGAAACACCAGGTTGGCTATAATTACATGATGGCCTTGGTAGATGTAACACTTCTTTTAAAGTGTAAATAAAAATTCTCATCTTACAGAAGTGGCAAGGATCCAATATTTTCTTGAGAGGGGAACTTTAATGCTGCTACTACTCTGTGGGAAGGGTTTTAATGTCTAGAATGTTCTGTGTCATACAGGAAATTCACTTTTAAGAGTGACATTTTCTTTCCATATTCACATTACAAGAAATGAGGAAGGGACTGGAGGCAGAGGGGTGCTGGGGATCCCAAAGGCTTTGCTGTGGTTCCATTGTTTCCCTCCCTGCTCAGCACTCAGCAGTGCAGAGGGACCCAGGAGAGCCAGACACAGTCGTGTGACAGGGTCACATCTGGCATGGGACAAACTGCTCTCTCTTGATGCCACAGTTCATCCTCTGTGGCAGAGAGCTGACTCCCCTTCTGTGTGCTGCTGTAAGGGTACATTCATTAATGTTTCTAAAGCATTCAGAGCTGTGGCAGTGGAGCCTGTGCAGTGCGAAGTGACTTTTTCTGTTCTCTGTGACTGTAATTTGTATAGTAAATATGCTGTGATTCAGAAGTGAAAAGCAAATCAATAACAAATCCTTTAAGATTTATGATTTAATAATTTAATTGCCAATAGTTAGACTAATTCTGCTGTGCCTTTGTTATGATTTCTTTTTCTTGGTTCATTTTTATAACCTGGGAGAAAGATTTAATTTTAGAAGTTTCAGTTGACAAAGACATGCTGGTGCTAGATATGTATTTCAGGTCATTGTCATTGTACTCTATTTTTAAATTCAAGTGCCAGCCAGCTGAAAGAGCACCCTGTGTCTATGCTGGGCGTTCTGCATCCGTGCTACAGAGCTGAATTCTTCCAAGCTTCAGCACAAGGCCAGCCAGTTCACTTTTATTTTTTCTCCTGTTTAATGAAGGGAAATGTTCTAGCACCTTTTCATTATCACAGAACTAAAACTGGTCATGAAAACAATCCCCCTCCCTCCAGAGGCCTGCACAGGCATTGGCCATTGTTAAGATGCTTTCCTATCAACAGCCACTCAAGAAAGAATTTTAAATGGTTTTGTGACGTCAAGAAGGCACAAGAAAACACAGTCTGGTGCCAAATTGCCTCCATCATTGAAAGCACCCAGTAAGAAATAGATAACACAGAAATAAATCTTTTGTGCAGTAGCTATCTCACGAAATGCTCTAGTGACTCCAGTAAGTGAGCTTGTCTGGTTTAGGAATAGCTGAAGAAAATGAACTTTCAGAGCCTCATTTTCTAATTTATGATTAATGCAAAGGCAGCCTAATCTGTCAGACTTCCTGCTGTCTGGACACAATGTCTGTGGGGAGCTTGGACCTCGCGCAGGGACACGCCCTGACCCAGTTTCAGCCTCCAAAAGTGAACAGTCTGAGTACGGTGGACAAAAAACTCTATCTCTTGAATGAAAAGATGGACAGACTGCTGCATTTCCAAGAAGACCTGACAGGCAAACTGCAGCAAGTGGACAGAGGCATTGCTGCTGTAGGAAATGGCATTAACAAGCTCACAGCATCCCAGGCAGCTCCTGGTGGCACAGCTGCAGTGCAGGAAGGCCCGAAGGAACCGGACAGCGCTGCCCAGGCTGATGTGCAGAGCATGTACTCAGAAGTGTTGAATTTGATGAAAGCTGCCCAGCTAGATGCCTCCAAGCATAAGGAGAGGCTGGCAAAGATAGAGAAAAGGGTTGATACCCTGGATAAAGTTATTACATTTGTGGGAGAAGTATTAAAAAATTCTAAAGTAGTGGATTTCATTCTCAAAGGCATTGTGCCCTGGAAGAAGGGGAGTCTGCTGGAAATCCCTCTTGAGGTTGGTTTAGTTTTACTGTTCTTCATTTCACTTTATGACATAGCAGGTCTTTAGGCTCTCCTGTCAATCACTTGCATGATGTTTAATTCAAGTTTTCCTTTCTGTATTGCTGGCACAGGTTACTGCTGGGACCTTTGAATTGCAGGGCTCTTAAGGCAGGGAGCAAGCTCAAAACAGTATCTAAGGTTCCTGAAGGGTGCTGGGCAGTCCTGGAATGGCTGTGAGGAGGAGATTGCTACTGGAAAGGAAAATTCAGCTTTTACCAGTGCTGAAAGCTCAGCAGTGTCACCCAAATTAGTGACTGAATTGAGGCCCCAGTGAAAAGTACATACTAGAAGCTTTTGGGTTTTTTGAGACAAGCTTCTATTTCCTTGTTTGTTCACAAATTCGGAACACAGCACCCACTCTTGAGACCTGTGCTGATTTGTAGTCATGTTACTGTGCAGATTTACACATCCTTAGAGATCTTAGTTGTCTTTAGCTACATTTCTGTGATGCAGCCGTGACTTCATTAGCTCCATTGACATCATTCACTCCTGAAATCAAGTAGTTCTTGTGTTTGCAAGTTCCCAGACATCAATTCCCAAGCATTTTTTAATTATTGAGGACAGTGGGTGAGGAACAGGCAAGAGCAGTACTTAGTTGATATGATGTTTGAAAATAGATCAGCCTTGTTTTTGAACAGTTCCAGGCATGTGGAATTAGTTCTAGGTAATGGGAGTTTCCAGTTTTCACTGTGGCTTCTACCCCACCATGGGAAGGGGAGAGAGGAAAACTGCAAGAGCTGGAATATGTTTATTCATTCCAGATCTCCATGTATGTGGAGATGTGATTACAGTAAGAGAATTTAGCTCAAATGACAATGTCCATTGATATCTAATTAAAATATTTTTCACCAAAGCTGTAAAATCCTTTGATGAGGAAGTACATCTAACCCTTTAGAAGAACAGGGCAGTATTTGATGGCAATGTACCTTTCCAAGCTTTCAGTGCTCTCCTGGTCTCCCTTTTTAAGTGCCAGAGGCTGATAAGTGAGCTGGCCTGTTAGGAGACAGGAGAATTTATAAAGTGCTTCCATTAGTGTTGAGAACAATAAATCATGCATTAGTTATCAACCTTAAATTGGGATAGAGATAAAGCTCAGTTCCAGCTTCAGTTCTACAGGTTTTTGGAGAAATGGGAAAGTCTGATATGTTTTGGGTAAAGCTGTGTTATTACAGTCACTGCAAAATGCCTGGAGACAGATACTGTCCTTTGCTTGATTTTGTGGCTAGGCAGGTGCAGATTGAGGTGGAATGACCTGCTGGTGACAAGCTGGTGGACTGGGAGGGGCTGGAGGTCTGTGTCCCAGGCTCCAAGCTGTGCCTTGGCTGGAGAACAGTCAGGGTGTAGTGGGCGAGCACCTCTATGGCAAACTCCCATTTTGCAGTATGACCATCATTGTCCTCCTTCTTTGTTTCTGGTCACGAACACTTTTTGAAATTGGAGCATGAGGTCAGTTATAAAACCTTAAGTCCATCCTTTGATCACAGACTGCTGAGTGATATCTGAACTGTCTCGAGTTAGTGAGGCTGTGGTGAACGTGACCTGGCTGGGAAATGTGCAGAGAGCACAGGTGAACAAATTACCTTGTGCTGAACCATGTGCTAACTTGGGGCTGCATTTTGCAGCCTGTTCTGTGACAGCAGCACAGACCTGTCCAAAGAGCTGCACAGTTACAGGGGGAGCACAGAAAAAGACCTTGCTGCCTGCTTGTTCCTGTTTTCCAGCCTTTGCTGTTTGTCCCAGGGCTCTGCTTATCACGGGCTGGGCTCTGAGTGGGGAGGTCCTGTTTGCATTTCTGGGTGAAGCTGTTTGTGACAGCATTCCAGGCATGCCTTGGGAATGCTTATGGAAGAAGTTTCGAGAGGTTGGAGTCGACAAAGACTATGAATTGAGCTTCCTAGGTTCCAAACCTCTAACTTCTTACTTAAAAACCAGAAAAAAAACCACCAGCATTAAACTGTCACTTACCCAAGGCTTTCTTTGCATGTAGGATTGTGCCAGAATAATGTTCACCCTGGTCATTGTTGCAGGTTTGCTTAGAGCTGTAATAAAAAGGGTAATGATTTTTTCCTACTTTTGCTCTTTGGGTGTTTTGGTTTTTTGGAATGGGAGGTGGGGAGGCTCTGTTCAGTCTGAGGGTTGGTGCATGAAATCCTTAACTGCTTTTACTAACAGGTGAAGGGCTGATGTGCAGCTGTAATCAGTTACCTGCAGAAATACTTTGTGTTGCTTATTTGCTTGTACAAATCAGGATAGGAGGCTAGATCATCACTAGATTTTTAACTGTATGTCAACCACAGGAAATATTATGCCTTTCCCTAATTTTGCTTTTTGCTACACAGAAGTCAGTTGTAATTTGGTTTCACATACATTGCTGTGTGAGGTCTTTAGTGGTCCTGTTACAAAATATCCCTCCTCTCAAATTAATTGGGGGGAAAACACTGCTTAAAGATAAAAATCTACTTCTGTTTTTAATCATTGTAAAGGTGACATGTGAAATATCAAGTGCATACACAAGAGTTGATCTAAAACTAGAGGTTCTTTTTTTTGGTATCCACCTCTTATCAGGTCAAATAATGAATTTTTAGGTCCCTTGAGACAAATATGTTTTGACAAATATATTCAGAAACATTACTTTTAATTCTGTCACCAGCTACAAAGCAACAGAAATACAGCATCATTTCTTTTTTTACTGTCTCATGTTTCACATGTCATACTTTTTAATCAGTGTGAGTAGAGATGACAGGAGGCAAAAACCCTGACAGTGAAAATTTTGGAAAGCAGTGAGCTAATGTATTAATCTGTTATGATGTTTTAAAAGGATGCCTGCCTGCAAAGACAGAGAGAGACTGGAGGAAAGAAGTAAACAGTGCACTGACTAATAATTCACAAGAGGTGCAACTCTCAATTTTTCAGAGTCTGAATGCCTACATAGCTGCAAGAACCTCGTGGGAAATAGACACTCTTGGCTGTAACTGTAATTTCTGTGTTCCCTTGTCATTTTTAGGCCAAGGATAAGTCTGAGGAGAGTGGTGCAAAACCTAAGCATGTGCTTAGTAACAGAGGAACCCAGACTGAAAGCAAGAAGCCTCTGGAAGGTATGTATCACTCCAGGCATGCTGCAAGCTTTGACTCCAGAATGTGCAGCAGACAAATTGGAAATTAATAGCCTGCTATTTCTCACTACCTGAATTACTCAGATGTAACTGAGTAACTTTGCCCCTCAGTACTGGGAGAATGGAATTGTTCTCACCACCTTCACACGATGATTTATCCCCAGGATCATGCACCACCAAAAGCTAGAAGATACAGAAATTAAAAGGAGCACTTTTGTTTAGCTGAAGAGCTGGGTTTTTTTGAGTTGGGTTTCAGTGAACTGAATTCAGAGAGCAGAGCTTGTTTGGAGATACTGTGAAGATAGTGGCCCTATACATAGCAAACCCAACAAGTTCTTTTCCATTAATATCTCTGGAGCAGCCCTCCCTCTTCCCCCTCTCTGAAAAAAGGATGTGTTGACACTAGAATATCTTTTTTTGATCAGCAAGTTTCCCTGGTGTGTCAGGGCCAGATTCCTATTTAGGGTGCATCTGTCAGGGCACTGCCCTGTTGCATCCACTGTCAGTGCCTGTGGAGCTGCAGCAGGGGTGAAGGTGATGTTGAGCAGGCCCTGTCATGCTGCTGTCTTCACAAATTGTCAGTGAATCCTTTGCCTTATGGGCAGTCCCCGTTTTAGCTTCATGGCTTTGGAAGTGACAAAAACAAAGCAAATGGTCACAATTCTGACCCAAAAGCTGCACAGAGTTGTGAGCAAACCTTGCTTGCTGGTGGTCTGGGCATGCTGAATGCTAATAATCACAGCCATTGTCATAGGGAGGTGATGGAGAACCTTTTAATGGAGAACGTTTTGTGCAGACTGCAAGTAGGCTCTGTCTCGTGCCTCAGTGTCCCTTGCAGTCCTCCTGGGTTTGTCCCTACCCCCCTAACTGGGGAGAGGGGTGTGGATCAAGAGGGTCCTGCAGGATCTGCAGTGCCTTAAAATACCTGTTATATTTGCCCACAAAGTGATTTCAGATTTTAGATGCAATGAACTTGAGCCTTGCAGCTTTTTTGTTTGCTTTAAGGAATCCAAGTCCAGCAGGTGAATCTCTGGTTTTAAGCCATGAGCATGAGTAGTATCTCCAGCCTGATGGTGTAAGGATTTTAAACCTTCTGGGAGATTCATGCTATCTTTTCAAGTGTAACTCTGCAGGTTATTTTGAGAGGTGTGTTGCTTTATTCCTCCTCTGTTTCGCCATGACTTTTGCCAAGGATAGTTTATTAATGGATTCTTTTATTCAGAGACAAAAAGTGTGAAAAAGCTGGATGAAAACAAGGGAGCATGTGAGAAGGTGAACACTTCCAGTGCTGTAGCCCACAAAGCTGACTCCAAACCCCAGCTCAAAGACAGGACAGCCCAGCAGCAAGGGGCAGAAAGTGCTGGCAAAACACAGAGCTCTAAGAGCTGTCCGCAGCAAAAGGACATCGATGTCAAAGCTGTGAATCAACACAATGGTCTTCCCTTCGTACATCAAGATCCTGCGGGCAACCAGAATGCTCCTGCTGAAGGCCAGAAGGGGGACAGAGCCCCAGGCCCTGCTGAGTGCCCCAGGCAGCTCGTTCACCAGAAGCCTGGCAAGAGTGAAAGCAAAGCTGCAGCGTCCCGGGAGGCTGCGCCCTCCACGTCCAGGGCCATATCTGACACGGGCTGTGAAGTGACACACACCAGGTAAAATGGCCTTGCTGGTGGCTTTCTGGGGGACCTGGAACCTTTCCATGGGTTACAAGGGAGAAAAGGAAAGCCAGGCCATTAAAGGAGGCAGCTCCTACGTGATGGGAGAGGAGGAGGGACCCTACAGGGGTTAAGGCAGGAGGCTCAGGGGGCCCTGGGTGAAGTTCTGTGCAGCCCAGGGCTCAGGTGGGACAGAGGGGTTTGAGGTGGCAGCACTGACACAGAAAGGTGACCACCACAGAGGAGCTCAGGTAGTTATAAACCACTCACTCAGGTAGTTATAAACCACTCACTCAAACCACTCACTCCCTCCCAGCTCCTTGGTTTCTATAGCCATGGGGGTGAAAGGAATTCGAGATATTTATTAGTGTATGACGAAACCAAAGAATTTGTGTTTGTTCTCCTTAGTGTTTTCAGTGTTTTGGTCACCTAAAGATTGTTCATTTATTCTTCTCTATCAGGCTAATATTTTCCTCATATAGGTGTTTCATATAGGTATAGTCCATTTTCCTTTGGCTTATTTATCTGGGATTTTATTTTAATCCCTTTTATTTAAAATTTAAAAAACCCACATGACAAAAACCAACAAAACCCCACAACCAAAAGGCTCCTCCAACTAAACCTCAACAAATGGAACTTCTGTGGCAGATTTTAACTGCCAGTGCCTCTCTGTCTGGGTGGGTGGCTGTAAAGTGGTTTATATGTGTGTGGGGGGGTGACAGACACTCATCCATACACACCCACAAATGTGTGTATGACTTTGGGTGGGGAATTTCTCCATTGTTCCTGGGTACAAACGTGGTGTCTGAGCCCCAGGTTTGGTTTGGGGATGAGGGAGGCCAGCAGGCAAGTGGAAGGCAGAAGCTGGAGTAAACCCCAGGGGCAGCTGCAGCCCAGCATTGTCATGGTTTGGAGTGAGAAGTCACATGAGGGTGGTAAACACCTCTCTGAAATGGATGCAGCTCTAATGAAGTTTGTAAGCCCACACAGAGGCATCAGAGGAACATTGTGTTCCCCTGCCTGGAGAAGTGCCCGAGAGTCCCACTGAGCTCAGGCCTGTCTAGATAGCAGAGGAAGTGTTTGCTCAGAGCTGCCTTCAGCTGCTCTCCCAGCTCACACCACAGCAGCACCAGGGTGTTAAAGTTGTAGAAAATCAGACATTTCACACTCTTGTTTTAAGAAAGCAGAAACATTTTCTTTTAGAACATCTTTTGTAATGAGGTTGCTCCAGTGGAAGAGGCAATTACCTTTGTGAAAATGAGGTCTGTTCTCTCCCAGACATCAGAAGCTGGCTTCATTTGCCATTGTATAAAATCTCCTTTATAACTTCACAAGTTTCAATTCAGCCTTGGTCAAATCAGACTGCTCATGACAGTTGGAGCTGTAACAGTTGACTCAAACATTATCACTCAAATATCTTTGATGGAGTTTAGGAGCACAGAGAATTGGTTCTGACCTGTAGTCTTTTTAGGCAACACAAGAGGGAAAAAAAAATTGTTAAACTTTTCCAGTAGTTAAAATGCCAAGGAAAATAGTATTGCTGGAGTGAGAGAGTTTATCAAAACTAGATTTTTAAGAGAAGGCTGTGGAAAGAATACTATCCCATCAGAAGACCCAAACCCAGATGGCTGAGTGTGCAGGTCAGCCAGCTGGAAGAGGACACAAGCCATCAGATTTGTAGAGCCATGTGAGCAGGCAGCCATTTAGCTAATCAGCCTGTAATTTGTGCAGGCAATCACTATCTGAGTGGTGTTTTGTTAGACAAACTGTAATAATTGCAAAAAGTGGGTAAGTTTTCAAATGTGGGATTAACTCTCTGCAGGGTGAGACATTTTGTTCAGCTGAAGGGCAGACATGTAGAGAGAGGAGGACACAGAGAAGGAGCCAGCATGATTTTTGGTGCTCTCCCCTTAGTGTTTGTGGATCATTCCCAGCAGGATTGGTACAGTTAGGTTTTATCCATACTATAGAAATGTATGGGTTTGGAAATGCACAGATTTTTCTTCCCCCACAAAGTTACAAAAACCAGGCTGGCCACCTGCATCAATATCAAATGTCTCCTGTTTGCTCTGCAGGATATCCATCAGTGTACATATGACTGACATGAAAGAAAAGACTGAGATGGCCAAGGAGGGAAATGTAAGTGACAGCAGAGGTAAAAGTTCCAAAGTGAAATCCACACCAGCAGACTTGAAAGGAGTCAAACAGCAGCCTGACAAATTAAAACTTCAACAGAGTACTAAAAACATCAGCTCCAAGCCAGATTCAGAAGTTAAAGGGGACAATAAGCAAAATGAACTTGCACCTCAAACAGGGAAGCAAAAGCCATTCCTGAGCAAGCCCAAACCAGGTGAAAAAGCTGAAGAGAAATCAGAATTAAAATGTGAGCCCATAACCTCACAGAATACCTCTGCAAAGGAGCCTGTGAAAGATGCAGGGGTAAAAGTAAAAATCCATCAAGAAACAGCAAAAGCAGAAAAATGCCCAGCAGACACCAAGTCTGAGACGAGGGGATCTGAGACTGCAGGGGGAAGCAGACATGATGCTCAGCAGGGTACAGGACAGGCACCAGAGAAAGCCAAGTCTCTGGCAGCTGGCAGAGCTCTTCCCACTCAAGGAGAAATCATTGGTAAGTTGCTCACAGCTACTCTTGAAACTTGTACATTGAGGATTTTTGCCATTCCTGCCTGTTGTACAGACAGCAAGAGCAGGAGCAGTGCTCAGTAGAACTCTCATGTCTTACACTTCAAGGGCTTTTTGCATTGGGTACCTTTGACTATGTGAATAACAATTCACAGATTCTTTTAATAGTAACTTTCCTTTTAAAGTGTGTTTTCGGGAAAAATAATTTAAAGTAAAATACATGAAGTGTATGTGTGATGAGAAGTACGAGAATTTTGAAAAAATCAATTTTCTTTAGATGCAGCATTTGTTCCTTCAGATAGAGGGTGCAAACCAAGCACACTTCTGCAGCTGTGGAGATCCAGAGCACAGAAAGTACTGCATGAAATGTTTCTTGTTGTGGCCTGCAGTGTTATTGGCCATGGAACTCTTGGTTCCTGGGGGAACACTTGGTTGCTTTGTCTCAGGGAATGCTCTGTCCTGGCAGCACATGTGTGTGTATGTTCCAGAGTGTACAGACATGGGCAGATGACCTGACTGCTCTGGCTTTCTGAACAGGGACTGGAGATGAGTTGGATACATGTTAAATTGCAGCCTGAAATACCTGGAGATTAATTATAAAATTGCTTTCAATGGGGGACATAAAAAATGGGTTTAATGAAGCTTTACCCTGGAAAACCTTGGACATTAAGTGATCACAGTTAACTAATTTAGCTTACCACAAACAGACTAAACTTAGTAGTTGTAATGCTAATAATTGCACCTTTAATTTGGAAACTGTCTGCAAAATTCTTGCTGCTAAGAGGAGCCCAATGATTTTATCAATCACTGTCTTCATTCCTCAGTGCTGTGTATTTTTGCTGGTTTATCTGGCTGTCATGTAACAATTAAAAGATAAGTGTAATTTTTTTCAAACTTCCAGATAGTATTTTCTGGTGGCCCTGCCTGTTAATGCATAAACTAAAATGTTGGTCTCCTGAAGGTGTCCAGTGGGTTAAAAAAACAGAGTGGAGGTTCGGGAGGTGGGATGCAGATCTCAGCTCTGGGACTGTGATCCTTGTCTGTACAAGGGATTTAGCAGTGAAAGCCCCTCACAGCCGTGGGGTGCAATCCCTGGTGTGAGGAGGTGGAGCCGGGCAGTGGGAGTGCAGCAGTGTCAGAGCAGCCTGTGTCCCCTGCAGATGACAGCCCCTCTCCTCCAGCCCCGTTCGAGCACCGCGTCGTGAGCGTCCGGCAAGCCGAGGTGACCGCCAGCTACTCCGTGTGCCGCCACCAGGTGCTGGGGGGGTAAGTGTGCCTGTCCCCGTGCTCTGGGGGCCCTGCAGCTGCCCCAAGGGCTGGGTGGGAGGGACACACCAGCTCTCTGCAGCCACAGGGGGTGGGTTCATCCTGGAGCCCTCTGGGTGATCACAACTGCTCCTGCATCAAGGATGTCCCTTAGATGGATGGTTTCTGCCCCAGCCCCATGTTCAGGTGCCTCACTGCCATCCTGCTGACTGTTCTTTTCATTTGTTTTAATAATCCTGGCCTCAGTGTTGTGGGAAGAACCTGTATCCTTAAGGCACACAAGATTCAGAACATTTGAAAGTCAACAAAGCCCATTAGGCCAGGCAGCTTCCAAATTTTGTTTTTCTGTGCTGAGCTGCACATTAAAGAAAACTAAGGAAGAGTTATAATTATTTTGACCTTATGTTTAGTACTCATAGGAAGTCTGCAGCTGCTTCAGCTTTTGTATTCTGTATCCTTACTTATGTGACAAGAAGGCTTGATTTACACATTGATCCACATACAAATATGGCTTAATAAGTATAAGCAATGTGATGCAACAGCAGGGAAGATGGTGGTGAGGAATCATCCCAAGGGGCATTAACATATCTGCATGACATGGGGGAGAATTTACAGCATGCCAGAAATGCAGGCTGTGGAGTGGCTACAGTTACTGGTCTTATGGTCATTTAAAAAGTTCTGGGATCAGGACAGAAATATCCTTGTTAATAGACCCACTAACATATCCCTGAAGGACAGCAAGGGGGTCCAGTTACAGAAGGGAGCCAGAGCATGGCCAGGCCATCATACCTCAGCAGGACCAGTGGGGTTTAATATTTTAATGTAAGCACTGAACAACTGGCTGGAAAGATAAACCTAATCCTTCATAAGCTGAGAGAAAGAGGAGCTCCATGCTGCTGGCCACCCGACCCCGTTCACTTTGTCCTGGGCTATTTTTGCTTATGATAAGAATAGTTCCAGGAGAGGTTTCTGTGCTGAGCTGCTTTCCCATCTTTCCCATCATCTTTTCCTTGGCATCCACAGGGGGCGTTTTGGGCAGGTCCACAAGTGCACGGAAATATTGACGGGGCTCAACCTGGCAGCCAAAATCATCAAAGTGAAAGGAGCCAAAGAGAAGGTAACCCCACTGCTGGGAGCTCTGCCCCTGCCCTCCCTGCCAGGGCCAGCACCACTGCCCCCAGCTGCCCATGAGGGGCAGCTCATCCCTGGGTACCATCAAATACTGCAAAATCTTGGGCTTGTTGTGACTCTTCATCATCTCCTGTATTCATGATTAAACCCTCAGTCCCCTTGAAATCTGTGCTGTAGCTGTTGTTGGGCTTTATAAATAATAGTTCTGTTTTGGTATGGTGGAATTCAAGGAGTGTATTTTGCTCATTTTTTGTTACTTTGTTATTTTTTTCAGGAGGAAGTAAAAAATGAAATTAACATCATGAACCAGTTAAATCACGTGAATCTGATCCAGCTTTATGATGCTTTTGAAGCAAAAAATAATATCACTTTGATAATGGAATAGTAAGTTTAAAGGATCTCAGGAATTGTCAGATGTCTGGGTTTTCTCAGGTCACTAAAGCAAATAGGGAGGGATAATTCTGAGCTGTTAAGAAGTGAGTGGTTTCCCAGCCTAAGTGAGAGTTAATCTCACTTTCAGAAGGAAAAAACAATGCTTTAAAAGTAATTTCTTCAGGTTAAAAGCTTTTCAGAGCTTTATCTCTGAGTAATTTTCTCTTCTGTGCAGAATTAAGTTCAGTGAAACAGCTTTCAGTTTGAGAAGCTGCATTTAGTAAATTTTGTAGGTTGAAGACTTATTTTCCCATGACTAGTAAGATGAGAGAACAACAGACACTGTAGTACTCCCAGTAGGTTCTCCAGGTCCCATAGGATCCCCAGGTCGTGTGGGTTTGGGTTTGACATGTATGCCCCAAATACTAGTGCCAACTTTCCCATTTCTGAATTTAGATTGATACTTAATTTCAAGAGAAATAAGTCTCTTGAAGTCACTGAGGCTGCTGATACACACTTTATTTTGGATGTTTTGTTAGGACCCTCAACTACAGAGCCTAATTCCCAACGTGGAAATAAATAGGGCTAATGCAAGATTTTAGGGTTTTTAATGCTTTTCTGTGTGAAATTTTAGTCTTGATGGTGGGGAATTATTTGACCGGATCACAGACGAAAATTACCACCTGACAGAGCTGGATGCCATCCTGTTCACCAAGCAGATCTGTGAAGGAGTCCACTACTTGCACCAGCATTACATTCTCCACTTAGATCTGAAGGTCAGTTGTTTGTGCTCTCTGTGCTTTAGTGTCACAGACATGTTTTATGAAAAATCCTTTCCTTAGGATTTTTTCTCCTGAGAAGCTGAGAAGCCTCAGGAACAAAATGTAAACAATGATTATCTGCTGCTGTGGAATGCAACAGGTGCATCTGTGATTGGTCTCATGTGATTGTTTCTAACTAATGGCCAATCACAGTCAGCTGTCTGGGCTGTCACAAGTCTTTGTTATCATTCTTCTTTTTCTATTCTTAGCTGGCCTTCTGATGAAATCCTTTCTTATATCCTTTTAGTATAGTTTTAATATAATACATATAATAAAATAATAAATCAAGCCTTCTGAAACATGGAGTCAACATTCTCATCTCTTCCCTCATCCTAAGACCCCTGTGAACACCACCACACTTTAGTGGTGCTGCTTTAGGCACCACAGAGTTTCTGATCACTGAGGAGTAATTTCTCATTTCATGGACTCATGTCATAAAGGAATAGAATTAATGGCTGCAAGGAATGGAGCCTTAGAGATTGATTAATTTTTTTCCAGTGTCTGTTCAGTAGCTTGCTTGGAATCATCAGGATTCTGGGCTTTTGCCTTTCTTAAATCAGAAGCTTTTCATTCTCTGTAGCATTAAACAATTCCCTTTTATCATGGATTTTAAAAAAACCCAGCCAAAACCTCCTTGGCTGGAAATGCCCACAGTCTTCCCTCTATTTCCCCTACCCTTTTTAACAGTGTACAAATACCTGTTCAATCATCTTCTATAGTTTGTACCTTTTCCCTGCCTGGAACCAACCTGCAGCAAAACTGCAATGTTTTCCTAATAGTCCCTTTATAATGGATATTGTTAAACAGAAATACAAACTGTTTTTTCCCTGCCTGTTTATAGAGCACCTTACACAAATGACATTAAACCAGGCTGGCTCATAGACAGTTCTGCAGCTGGACCCCATCACCCCCCATCTCCACCTTGAATTGGAAAAAAAAAAAGGGTGCATTGTAGCTTTTTATGGAGGGAATTTTATACTATTTTTTTGCTAGATATCTCTCTCAAACATTTAACTCAAAATACCCTCTTCTCTTTTTGTAGCCTGAAAACATCCTATGTGTAAATCACACAGGAAACCAGATTAAAATTATTGACTTTGGATTAGCAAGGAGGTAAGAAAGTTCAGTTATGAATTATATTAAAAAACAAAACCAAATCAAACTCACCAAACCAAACCTCTGACATATTTCTGGTAGTTCTTTGGTGGGGGTTTGTGTTTTGATGGCTCTGTAATAATTCTGTGTGAATGAGTTAAGCATTTTGCTTTTGCAGGCATGAGTTTTCTGCTGTGTGCATTAATTATCTAATTACTTTTTCAAATAACATTTCTCTTCAATAAAGCTTTACTACTGCTCTAATTATCTCAAAATTATTCCCCATATAGAGCTTTTACTCTAGGGACCGTGAAGGCTCCCAGAGACTTCTTGACTGCAGGGTTTCATGGTGCAAGTTCTAATTGTAGAAATTATCTGCTAAACTCTTCAAGTAGTTAAGTTGATTGAAGGTAATAAAAAGAAAAAAAAACATATTTGAGCCATCCCATGTGAAACAGGAAACCCTCAGAAAAATAGGAAATTTTATCCATTCTTTTATTTTGCTTGTATGAATTTAAAGAAAAGCAGTGACAGCATAGTCAAATTGCCCTAGAATAAAAAGGAATTATCTCTACTATTATTAAGACAATAAGAACAATACTATTTCTCTAATTATTTTCTAAATACTTTGAGATTTTTCTTCAGCTAAAAGCTGGTTCATTCATGCATATATATATTTATGTGTTTGTATAGAAGTGTCTGTTCAAGGACTTTGTTTCCATAAAATACTTGTTGAAGAAAAAAAAAAAAAGTACATTGAGTTTGGGGTTTTGTTTGGTTGGTTGGTTAATTGGAAGGGTAGTTTTGCAACAAGATCACCCAGGAAAATGGGATTTCCAGGCAGTGCTGTAGTGGTTTGTTCTGTCAGAACACAGATGTGGCTCCAGCTGCCATCAGTGGCAATTGTTACTGCTTCAGTTTTGTAACCTTTCCCTGTTTAGCAGTAGCAAAAAGAACAGGGTCATTTCCCCCTATATGGGGTCACTGTTGCTTGTTCCCAAGCCCAAATAATCCTCTTCAGTCCCACCTCAGTTATATTGAGTTATATCTGTGGTGCAGATGTTCACCCTGAGCTGTAGCTGGGGACATCCCACTAATCCAGTGCCCTCCAAATCTTGTATAGTCAAAACTTCTTTGTTTGTTTTATGGGTTTTGGACAACATCTGAAAAGCATCCTGTGGTGTCTGGCTACCACTCTTAGGTAAAGCTGCTGCCACTCTCTGGGGGAGCCCTTTGCAGGGTTCAGTGTCCTTGTTCTTCCTAGTGGCTTTGCTCTGGCAGAGGGACAATGATGGAATATTCCCTGAGGTCACCCCAGAGCTGCCCTGGCTGCCAGCACTCAGCTCTGCTTCCCTGCCAGGCTCCCAAAAGCTGTGCCTTGCTGTTCCCTGGGGGATGAGCTCCCAGCTCCTGACTCATGGCTCTTCTCCTGGTACAGGTACAAACCCTGTGAGAAGCTGAAGGTGAATTTTGGGACTCCGGAGTTCCTGGCTCCCGAAGTGGTGAACTACGACTTTGTGTCCTTCCCCACGGACATGTGGAGTGTGGGTGTGATCACATACATGCTGTGAGTGCCCAGGGCCCTGTCAGGTCTTTTTTTTTACTCTGAAAAGTTGCCCAAAATATGTGAGAATTTTAGTTTTGTGTTTTATGAGGACTTGAATTAATTTTAAAATTTGTATTCTAATCATTTTATAGTCTTACACTTGGTGTGTATCTGCTCAGGAGAATTAATATGATCTGTGTTGGGCCATGGGTCTGAGAAATGACCTGCCATGAATAGGGCTGAAACTTTTCCCTGACATCTAGATGGCAACCATGGACAGCTTGTCTGTCCAAAGTCTCTGCCTTCTGATGAGCTTGTTTTGCATCCCAGAATCTTTCACAGACATTTTCTGTGAACTGGATAAATTTCTGGTTAAAATTTGTATGTTAGCCAAAACCCAACTGAATGAAGTAATAAATGATGGAAGCAATAAAGATGGGCTTAGAGACTAACTGTAAAAAGTAATTTATTGTTCAGAATTGTGTTTAATTCAAGCCACATAAGGATATGGCCCCCAGTTTGGGAAAGCTCTTGAGTCCCTCTAGCTTTCCTAGCTGGGAAGGCACTGAAGGATGTCCCTAAATCCTCACTGAATCCACTACTTGGGGACCTATTAATGGTGCTCCCTGACCTGAGTGAACTGCTAGGGGGTAACACTAAATTACAGCACCTAATCTCCCCAAACTATTGCCTTATCCTGGCAGGGACTGAGAATTGGAACCCTCCATAGCTGAGAGCTTTTTCCCTCCATAGGATAACAACAGCTACAAAGCAGAGGAGTCATAGAAGGAAAACCACACCTTGCATATGATAACTGCTCTTCTCCCCCACCCCATCTTTCTTTTTTAAGGCTTAGTGGCCTGTCCCCGTTCCTGGGAGAGACTGATGCTGAGACAATGAATTATGTAGTCAATTGCAGCTGGGATTTTGATGCAGAAGCATTTGAACAGCTCTCAGAGGATGCCAAAGACTTTATTTCCAGACTGCTTGTGAAGGAGAAAAGGTACCTGGGTCTGATTGTGAGCAGTGGCACCAGTGATATTAAATTCTTACCAGCCAGTTGTTTGGATTGCAGCCAACAATGAGAAGTTGCTATGTGACATTTCTGTGTGCTGGCTCTGGGCTTGCTGGGCAGTTCCTCAGTGATTTGGAAGCCCCTGTTGTAAAGGAAAGTGTCTGTGTACCCTGGCTGAGGAAAGTTGGTTTTTACAATAGCATCAGTGCAGGCAAGACACAGGAAATCTGGAAGGATTTGCAGTATAGGAATCTGTCTCAAAAGGTTTTGCTTCTCTGAGCAAAAACTATTTCTATTGTTAGTTTGGACTGTCACAAGCCTTGACAGAAATTGCAAAAATGCCTCTTGAATGCCATGGAGGATAAATGGAAGCTGCAGCTGTGAAAATGTGCATTGTTCTCTTCTAAAGTGGTTTACAGGCTTTTGGGAGATACTAGGGAGCATTTGGGACTTAACTCTGCTTGTGGCTTCTCATTCTTGGCTCCACTGAGATCCAAAGTGATTGCAGATATGAAACAATACAGAGAATGAGGATCATATTGATGTCAGACCATGGCTGGGGGTTGGCTGGGAGAACAGAAATTTTTCTCTTGCTGAGTAGTGATACAAAACTAATCAAATCAGGAAATGATGCATACAGTAAAACAGATTGTGTGTTTGAGGGGAATTCAAAGGAGTGCTTAGAATATTAACAGCTTCCAGATCATTACCTAAATCAGACAAATCAGTTCTACTGCTAATTTTATTTTGAACAATAGGTTGCTATGAAAAACAAACAATTAAGTGAAATTTAGCGTATTGCCAGCAGGAGAGATCTAAGGATTTTTTCTCAGATTGTAATGATGATTTGCTGTGAGACTGTAAACTTTGGAGTCTTCAATTCTTCTGTGCAATGGGATTAAGGTGTCCAGAGGCACCCTCTCAAAGTCTGGTTAGGAGCTGTGAATGAAGTGAGTATGTGAGAGAAGTGTTGTCAGTGAGTGGCAGAGCAGTGATCAGCTGGCCCTGCTGTTCACAAGGTGAGGCAGCCCCTGCTCTCCTGCAGCCCAGGCACCTTTGCCCTGCTGGGACCCTGGCTCTGGCCTTGGGCAGGACCTGCAGCCCCCTCCCTCCCTGACTGCTGAAATCAGGCTGGGCGGGCAGGAATTGTCTTTTCATCAGCTCAGACAGAGCTCAGGAGTTAGACATAGGCTTTTGATTTGAAAAAAGGCAAATGAAACTTTGTTCTCAACAGCTCTACCTTAAGATTTCCTCTATTACCATATACTTCCCAAATCTTCTAGGATAGGCTGTGGCATTTGGACCCATTGTTGGATGTCAGGATATTAAAGTATGCTTAACTTGATCCAAGTTTAGGGTGAATAGACAATAGTGCTTTTTAAATATGATGCACAGAATATGCTTTTTAACTACGAGGCACAGCTAGTGCTGTCAGGACTGACAGATAACACCACAAATGTTACTTTTCTGTTAGCAAAGTTCTGAATTTGCATAACAAAGTGATACATTAACCTAAGCCCAGCTCAAGCGAGGCACGGCCGAGGCAGCAGCAGTCAGTCCTTCATCCCGCTCACCCCTCCTGCTGGAGAGCGCAGGATGCTGGCAGGATCCGGGCACCCGTGTTCGTTCATTCGGGGCAGTTCCTGTATCCCTAACTGGCCTGGCTTAGGGCAAATTTGGGAGAAAACCCCCAAAATGGGGCCCTTCCAGAAAGCAAACCTACACGGCCCCTTCCCCCAGCCGGTTTGGGAAGGATTCCTCAGAGAGAAGTGGAAAGAACCTGTTTATTTAACAGGAACAGCACCCCCCAGCACACAAAATGAACAATACCGGATGGCATCACTCTGTCACCATTTTAAAAAAGATGACAAATTCAGAAAGTCTCTCTTGGGGTGGTTGCTCTGTTGTCAGTCCCTCTGGCACTGGGGTAGCTGCTGCAGCCACAGGGTGCAAAGTCTCGGTGTTTCCCAGGTCCCAGTCCAGAGCAGGTTCGAGTAGGTCCCAGAAAAGGGAAAGGAGAAACAGTCCAGGAAAAAAATTGGACTGTTTAGCTACTAACTAATGAGCAGAAGCGAAAAGCGAGAGCAAAGCAGAAGCAGGAGCAAGAGCAAAGTGAAAAGCCAAGGAAAAAGCAAAAGCAGCACCATGTACTGTCCCTTCTCTGTGTCCTGCCAGTCGTGAGGGAGCAGCTGATAAGAAACAAGAACAAAACTTTCACTCTTCAGAGCCAGTCTTGGAGGCACAGAACATAATATCCAGCATAAACAGAACACACGGATGGGGATACAAGCATCAGAACGTCACCCTAGGACACTAACAAAGTGGAGCCCGGGGCCCTGAGGAGGGGAGCAGAGGGCCGAGCTCTCACGGAGATCTCGGGGAGCAGAGGGCCGGGTGTCACACAGATCTCGGGGAGCAGAGGGCCAGGTCTCACAGAGATCTCGGGGAGCAGAGGGCCGGGCTCTCACGGAGATCTCGGGGAGCAGAGTGCCGGGTCTCACGGGGCTCTCGGGGTCCTGAGGAGGGGAGCAGAGGGCCGGCCGGGCTCTCACGGAGCTCTCGGGGAGCAGAGGGTCGGCTGTCACGGAGATCTCGGGGAGCAGAGGGCCGGGTGTCACGGAGATCTCGGGCAGCAGAGGGCCGGCTCTCACGGGGTTCTCGGGCAGCAGAGGGCCGGCCGGGCTCTCACGGAGCTCTGTCCCTCTGCCCGCAGCTGCCGGATGAGCGCCACGCAGTGCCTGAAGCACCAGTGGCTCTCGGACCTCCCTGCCAAGGCCCAGCAGTGCAAGCTCCGCCTCAAGTCCCAGCTGCTGCTGCAGAGCTACATGGCCCACAGGAAATGGAAGGTAAATAATTCTGCTTCCACAGGGAAATCACACCGCACGCACAGCCATTCCCTCCGGTGTGGTGGCTCACTGGTGCCCACAGGTTCCTTGGCTGTGAGTACCAGTTATGAGGTCTGTTTTTACCTGTAAGTGTTTGGTCCTGCTTCTATTTCTCGTAAGTTTGGTTTCAATTTTCACGCTGATTGGTGTTTAGAAGTTTTTTACATCTTTCTTTCTACATGTTCAGAGGCTTCAGATGCTACTTTATGTTAAAATTTGTCTTTACACTTTTCCATTGCTAGCAGCTGCATTGATCTGTTGTCACTAAGGAGCAGGGATGTAACTTAAGGCAGTTTGTGCCTCCCACTGCAAAATGGGAGTGTGGGAGAGAGGAAACAAACCTAGGCTTAAACCCATCGAGAGAACTCTGCAGGATCTTACTGATAACCACAGGCTCCTTCTGAACTAAGTTTTTATGAAGTGATAGGTAATAATTTGTGTTTGAGTCTCTATTTGATTGTAGATAATTGATCCTAAAAGGTGAACACAGTGATCTTGTTAGAAGGAAGCCTGTGGAATTGTGAGGCAAACTCAGGACCATTTCCTTCTCTTCTGTCACTGGGGAATTGCATTTCCTTGCCAAGGAAATGCAACTTACATTTCTTTCAGTCCTGCACTGCAAGTGCTTGCTGGTAAACTTCTGCACTTGCATTGTAAAGATGACACAATCTAAAGACCTATCCCTGTACAATTTACAATTCATAATAACACTGCAGAACCTCACAGTGCTGTGCAGGAACCACTGCAACCCACACAAGCTTGGGGTCACTACAGAGAAATGGGTTTACCAGGAAGAGAGATCCCTGGCAGCTGCAGAAAAGTTCCTTTGCCTTGGTTTCACTCACACTCAGACTGTTCTGTTCTGTTCACAGAAACACTTTTATGTGGTGGCTGCTGCTAACAGGCTGAAGAGGTTTCAGAGTATGTCTGTCAAGCTTGCATGAGCTTGTGTGAACCTCCTCCACTCCTGGAGATGGACATGAGGCCATGGAAGGAGGACTCAGTGTCTCCAAACATTTCTATCCCTGTTTTATAACTTAAGGTTTTGGGACTGTCTTCCTCAATTATTTTGTGTGTTAGTGCTGTGGTTCCAGAAGAACCTTAAGGAAGAAACACAGGAATTCTAAAAGCAGAAGCTTTTTTTTTTGTTTGCTTTTACAAGTTTTTAGTTGTTCAATAGAGTGGTGGAAAAACATGGCTGTTACTGGGGCTGACTTCTTGCTGAAGGCTTTGACTCTGTAGAGTATTGTTGGTGTGTTTATAGCAGAAAACCCCTGGCAGTTTTCTGGTCTCTCACACCAAGCATGGGATCTCTAAAGACTTTTTCCTGACTGATGTTTGTGAGTTAGCAGCTTTAGAGAACTGCTACACAGTGGCACAAAATGTCCCTCAGGTGTTTGTTACTTAAACGAAAGACACAGACATTGTTTTCTTCTATATTTCTTTCCAAAAGGTAATTTTCCCACAACATGAAGATGCTTCAGTGCAACTCCAGCTTGGGTGGTTTTGGTTTGTTGTTTTGGTTTTTTATTATTCGATTCTCTCCTTTAAAAAATAATCACTGCATAGTTAGTAACTGTGAGGAACCCTGGTTTGAGGTAACTTAAGTCAGTCCATTGCTGCTGTTTCTTAGGGCAAGTTGAATTGATTGAACTTCTGGAAGGAGATGTGTGAAACTGCCATGCATACAAATCACCTAATGATTGTTGGGTCTATGCAAAAAGACCTCATGTTGTACAGAAAAGAGGAGAGTTCCAGAGATTTTATGTTTTTAAAACTTGTAAGTGCTTTTCATTGTCCATGACTGCAGCACTTAAATTGCTAAGTTCTAGTTTGAGGATTTGTTTCTCCTCTCTGGCAATTTTAATGCAGTATGAGAAGCTGGTGTGGTGTGACATGCAAAACAGGTTTCATTTCTGATAGGTTCAGTGACAAGGAAACTAACTGTGTGTTGCCAGACTCTGCCTTTAGTCCAGTTAGGAGGTTGAAGCCCTTTTTTCCCCCCTCATTTAGCTCTTGAACAATAAACTGCTTCTTCACAATATTAACTTATTTTGGATTTTAAACTCTTTTCTTATGCATAGAGTGAGAGCCACTTAGAATCTCTCAGATAAAAGTACAATATTATTTATTAAACCTGTGGTTTCCTGTTCTGGATTTTGCAAAACTCAGTGTGAACTGGATGGGCTCTTAGGAAAAATGGAAACTAGTATTACTAAAAGTAGCTTTCCAGCAAAGGTGCCTGTGAAGTTCCTTTGAACTTTATGGACTTTGACACCCCTTGAATTTGCAGAAGTGTTGGTTGCTAATGATGTTTCTAAGATTGCCTTACTCTGGTCTAGCTATTTTTTCCACTCAAGTGCTTCTCACTTTGCATAGTCCTGACTTTATTTGCAGCATTTCCAGAATTGGGACAGAGAACAATCTTGATAATTTATCACCTTCTATGAAGGCCCACTTTTGTTCATGTTTTCCTTCCACAGTGTTTCTGCATGCTGAATGTCATTGTATTCATTGCTCTGTATATTTCTGAATTAATACTAATAAATTTCATGGAAGTGGAACAAGAATATTCATCAGCATTGGTTTAAGCCCTGCTGCCAAACAAACCTGAAAGTATTTCTGGGTGGGTCCAAAGATACAGGCCAGGCAGAAAACATGCAAGAGAAATGGAACAAAGGCCTCTTCTCTAAGCATAGGACTGTGAGACACAAAAAATCTGTTGCCCACTCAACATCCTTTTCCTCTGGATATCTTCTTTCTTAAGGCACAGACATCTCCATGTTTCTTATTTTGCATTCCAAGTACCTGTGCCAAGATGATGTCATAATACAAAGCTTTTCTTTCCAGTACTTTTGTTGTTTCTTGGAATATTTGGGACCCCTTACAAAAGCACAAGAGATTTCATTCCTATACACAAGAAAATAAATCCAATTCATTGACTGAACAACATTTATTTAAAAACCCAAAAAAACCCTGAAAAATAAGGCTTTATTTTTCTGCTGGCTTTGCAGTTTAACAAGGCACTGTTAGTCCCCTTCCTCTTGTTTCACTGACTGCTTCCAGCCAGGGGCCCAAGGGCCTGTAACTTATAACTTATTTACACTGGAAGTAGCATTAGAATGTTATCTGCTTCTTGCAGCAAGAGAAGGAAGCTATTCTACCCCTAATGCCTGTGAGCAGTCACACACACTTCCTGTAAAATCCCACCACTCCATGGTGTCATTTATTAAAAATAACATTCTTAAATACTTAAAACCTAAATAAAATCAGCTGTCTGCCAGGCAGCCATCATTCACATGCTACTGGATCTCTTGTTAGAGCAGAGGGAGAGTTAAAATCAAGAGCAAGCAGCAGTTACATTACTGGGTGGCATTACAGAGTCACTACTCCTTGTCTCTTGTGCCTTAGCAGCATTTTCCAGGATTTTCTTTTTCCATTCCTCATAGTCCTGATTTGTTTCAGTCTTTGGCTGTTTACATGGCAGTTCCTCATCCTCTTCAGAGCCTGTGAGGAAACAAGAGAGCCCATGAGAGGCCATCATGGGCAGCATGCTGCTGGGGATAGCAGGCAGTGAGCAGATGGACAGACAGCAGGAAGGATAGCACAGCTGTCCCTGTGCTGTCTGATCCTGTGGGTGCTGCTCCCCTCACCTGCAGGGACAGTCACCTGTGTGTCTGCACAGAGCAGCTGTCCTCCATTCCACTGGCACTATCCAGGATAAACCCCTGTGTCCTGCTGCCAGCTCTCTGTGCTCCCACAGAGGTCTGAGAGCACCATGGCCCATCACACAACTCCAACAGGGGCAGCAGGAAAGCTCAGAACCACTCCAGTGAGGTGATTGTCACTCACAGCTAAACACAACTCACCATCCTCCTGCTCACACTGCTGCAGGGTGCTCTGCAAGCTCTCAGGTGTCTCTGCAGCCACTGGAACAGCCTCTAAAAAACAAGTAAGTTGCTTTGATTTGAATGGTGTTTGGGGCTCCAAGGGTGGCTTAAATGTGAATCTTTGACAGCAGTGCCACCTTCCACAAGTACTGTTGTCCAGTCAGAGCAGTTCCCTGGCTCTGACTGATGCTCAAGCTCTACAAGAGGTGCCAGCACTTCAAGTATGGCATGGACTGACTGGCTGCTTTAATTAGCAGGCTGCTAATTAGCAGCAAACTGCTGCTGCATTGGTAACCACAATGATCCACCATGTTCATTGCCCCAAACCACACTGCTACCCTTCCAGGTCACTCAGGCAGGATTACCAATTATTTCTTTCCCTTCTATTCCATTCCCACTATTTTCATAGATACCCACAACAGGCAGGAGGCTGTGCAGGTATACAGATGCACACTCTTCCCTGAATTCTTCTGGAAATTCCCAGCTGTCTTTAGTTGCTTTAGTGTTTGGGTAATGTTTGGGTTTTTACAGGGCACATGCCTATGAGAAAGTAGCAGCTTTTGGGGTAGATTCAGGCAGCATGTTGCAGGAAACATCAGGGTACGAAGATACAGTGAGAGAGGATAACTTTCAGTGGGAAAGTAAAAAATGAAAGCCTAGGAAAAGAAAAAGGAGAAAGAGGAGGCAGCAGAAATACAAGGACATTAGAGCACATACTGTATTTCTCCCCCACAAAAGGGAGCAGAGAGAGCTGCAGGCTCAACAATGGGCAGAAATATTCCTGACATGTGCCCAGTGTATGAGGAGGGGTGGTGCCAGGGAATGGCTGAGTTGGAAGCAGAGCAGCAAGGCTTCTGCTTGTTAATCTTGCAGTGGGGGAAAGGAAAGCACAGGAGTGAGTCAGCCTGAGAAGATGTTTGTGGTAATTTGTGTGCTAGGTTGCCATGTTAACAGGATGCAGAAACCAGGCAAGAGGGAGGAATCCAAGATAGGTCAGGTAGTACGGGAGAAGCAAGGAATAAATTGCAGCAACAGAGACTGGAAAGAGCAGTGAGCATTTGAGAAGAGAGGGAAATATTATTTTTGTCCTTGCCACTTTTTCCCTATTTTTGTTCTTGCTAAGCTATGGCAACTTCTCCAGAAGCAAGGACTGGGAGTGGAACTGGGCTGCAGGAAACACATTGGAATGGAATGGATGGGCAGATTTGGCTGGAGGGGGACAGCTGAAAGTGATCAGCCTGCAATCACCAGTGGAACAGGATGGGGCACTGAGGCCAAAGCCAAAAACTTACTGCTGAGCTGCTGGCTTATCTTCTCCAGCTGACTGCACAGCCGGTCAAATATTGCTTTTTTCACTCCAGATGTAGCCACCATTTTAGTTTTGTCCACTTTTAGCTTCAAACACCTACAAGAGAAAGTTATCTCTGTACAAAGCAACACACCAGCAACTATCACTTAGGTGAGGTGATAATTACTGTACCCACACTGCCTGTGAGAATGAGGAAGGCAGGCCTGACGTTTTGTCCCACCTATCCTTGTGTTACTCAGAAACAAATCTGGTTAAAAACCAGACCCCTGCACTACTCAGTCAATACAGCTCAATTGAAACTCAGGTGAATTCAACTTACATAACATAAGGAATTGTTTTAGGAAAAGGTACAGGGAAACCAGGACAAAATGCCACTATAACAAAAGCTGAATGTGTCAAGAGAGCCCTTGTGAGGAGCTGTGCAACTACACAGCACCTGTACTCTGAATAAGACTGTCACAAGGTGTAATGCTGAGGGAGGAACATCTTTGCATACCAGCAAATTCTTCCCAAGTGCTGGCTGAGTCACACACCTCTCTTGGCTGACATGGGCCTACAGCTCTCAGAGCCATCTCCCAAATGCTGCAGCACCCTCAGGATGGGATGGTGTAGCTTTTGGGGCTTTTCCTTCTTCAGAATGGCTGCTTCTTGGTGCTCAGAAGCCCTTCTTGCACCTTGAGCAGCATTTCACCAGAAGCCATGTAAGTTTTTGCTTTGTGCAGTGCACACTGAAGACTTCACGATGAGGAAAGGCCTGGTTTGCTCCAGCTTTGCAGGAGCAGGGCAGCAGGACATGCTAAGCAAGACCCTGAGTGAATGAGCTGCTGCACTGGCTGGTGTGTCAGCAGGTATTTCATTTCACCAGAAGGTCTCTGGGCTGCACTCACCTGCATGCAGTGCACAGAGCAGCTGTTACAAACAGGGGCTTGGAGAAATCCAGGTCTGCTCGCTGTGCTTCCGAGAGGCTGCACTCGTACCTGGGAACAGCAAGGGACACTTGGGCATTTGCCTCACATGAAGCTCTCAAATCCCTCTCTCACTCAGAACAGGTCTGCTGGGCCACCTGGGCCTCTGCAACCCACTCAAGCAGAAACAGCTGCTACTGGCTGAGAGGAGCAAACAGGTGAGGGAAAGAAGGGGGTTGGGATGGCCTCCTCTTCTGGAATTAGAGATGTTTTAAACTGGGGATCTGGAGCAAGGCAAGTCACTAAAATCTACTTCTTGTGCTCCTGATCCACACAGCACTTTTAGCTCTCCCTAACATCTTAAAATTTACAGTGAGATGCTTTCCATAAATCCATCCTACAATAGAAGGCAGCATTACAGTTTCTTTGTTCTCTGGAATGTTACAGACAGAAAGGCTTATAAATGGAAAATGACAAAGTGGATATGCAGCACTGAAAAATGTCATTTTTTATTGTCCACCTGCCCCAGGCTACTTTTTCCCAGTTTGTATTAAGTGCCACCAAGCAGGCAGAGCCTTTGTGCACTGACCTGACAGCATTAAACATGTGCTATCAAGGGGACAGCACTGAGCTCTTCAGGGACTGCTCTGCTCAAAGCAGATCTTACAGAATGGGAAATTTTAGTTAACTCTGCTGAATCTCCACTGAAGTGTTCTAGCTATTGGTTTTACAGTAGAGTGATGTGTATTTTAAGAGATGTCTATCCCCAAAAGGGAGGATTTATTTCTACTGAGCATTACTTCTGAACTGTGCAATGATCAGCAGTTAAATGGATGACAATGTGATGCTATGGGCAAATACAGAGATTTAGAGTCCTATATTTTTTACACTATTCCCAGCTGAAAAATTCCTAGTTGGACAATCAGTTGCTGAGATTCACAGACTAAATCTTTCTAACAGATATTCTAACAAGTGGCCCAGCTCATGGCTGGATTTTCAGTGCTGAGAACTCACCTCAGTGCTCCAATCAGTAGGAGATATCTGGCCCTTCCAAACATCAAGCTCTTCACACAGCTGAAGAGCTAAGAACCCTGCTTGTGGTTCCCAGTGTGCCCACAAGAGCTTCCTCACCTCTGCAGGATCTCTGAAGCCATGGTCACTGCCTCTGAGCAGCAGAACTGCACAGCCAAGTCTCGCATCCCCAGCCTTTGGTTCACCCCTAGCAAACACTCCAAAGACTTCATGGAGCTCTGGTAGGTGGTCTTGTTCAAACCAGAGAGTTTGACACAATAGCTCTGTCAAGAAGACAAAGACAAGCCCCAAGAATTAGCAAGAATCCTTTCTGACATCTTAATCAGGCAACCAACACAACCATTAAGTTCAGTAGCTACGTTAAACTAATTTGTGCAATGAATAATGTATGTCTTGACTGCACACAGAAAGATTAACCACTCAGGAATGCCACACCTTTTAATGCAGTGATATTTTTAGGCTGTTTCACTGGAAATAAGGTTTGACATTTCCATACATGACATGGCCCCTTCATCACAAGGTAATTAGTGAAAAAACTACCAAAGCCTGGGTTGAAGACATGAGCAACACTTTCATGGAGTCAAGTCCAATTAAATTCTCCTCTGCTGTAAATGGACAACCATGAATAGGTTATACCAGGCATTATTTTGATAGCTCAGTGCTGCTCACCTGGCAGCTTTACAGATGGAGGTTTACAGGTACCCCTATAGTAAGAGATTTCTTGGACCAACTGCTTTCTTCCCATAATAAAAGAGACAGATCTTAAATTTAGCATCCTTGTTGGTAATCTATTTGTTACTACAAGAGTTCAAATTCAGTTGATGCTATACCAAAGCAAGCTCAGTTAGTGAAGGGACTATGATAGTGATCTCAATTTTCACTGTTTCAAACCGAACAGTGAAAGGTCTACCACAGCAAACTGCGGAATTTAGGGGCAAGCTAGTTATTATTTCCCATTCCTGCTCCCAGCACACACTAGAGAACAGCGGTTTTGTGGAGTCAGGCAGAATGCAGCAGCCTGCCCAGTCACACTGCCTTACTTTGTCAACCGGTTGTTTCATGAAAGCCGCCGCCAGGTCCAGGCACATCACAGCGCTGCTCGTCGCCGTCATTTGAGCCATTAACCCCGTGCACTTCACCTGTGAGAGCCGCAGATACTCCTCAGCTTTTCTGCAAAACACCCAGAACGCAAAGCCCTCGTCAGGAACACAGCTACGAGGCACAATGCCCCGCAGGAGCCGAGCCAAGGTTCGGCAGTCGGGCTGCAGCACGGCCTGAGAGCCCGGGGTGCTGAGGGGCACGGCCGCCCTGCCCTGATGCTGGGCAGCAGCCGCAGCTCTGCAGGGCAGGGCCGGCAATGCTTCACCCAGCCCGCGGCTCCGGGGCTTCCAGCGCATCCACCAGAGCCAAGGCGGGCGCTGCTGCGGTGCCGGGCACGGCGCGGGAGAGCGGGTCGAGCGGGCCCGGCGGGACCCACTGGCCCGAGCGGGATGAGCGCGGAGGGGGCTGCGGGCAGGGCAGGGCAGGGCAGGGCAGGGCAGGGCAGGGCAGCGCGGGGCAGCGCGGGGCGAGCGGCGGTACCTGAGCAGGGCGGGCTCGGCCAGGCCCAGCCGGGCCGCCATGGCCCGCACAGCCCCGCGCTCCATCGCTCGCCGCGCCTGCCGCGCTCGTAGCCCATTGGCCGTAGGCGCCGCCAATCACCACCCCCTCCGCCAATGGGCGCGCAGCGCGGCTCGTCCTCGGAGCGGGCCAATGGGCGGCACGCGGCGGCGGGGCGGGGCGGTGCGCGCGGCGCAGTCACATGACGGGGCGGCGCTGGCGGGGGCGGCGGCGGCGCGACCATGGTGAGGGTGAGGGGCAGCGGCCGGGGGGCGCGGGGTGCCCGCTGCGGGTCGGGCTGCGCTGGGACCGAGGGGCCGGCGGCCGAGGGACGCGGCCGGGACAGCGCCCTGAGCCGCCGCGCAGGGCCGGCGGCGCGGCGGGCCCGGCCGGTTGCGGGGCTGCAGCGGGCGCGGAGGCCGCACGGTCCGGCCCGGGCGGGGCTGGGGTGCGGGCCGGGCCCGCCGTGCCCGCGGTAACGCTGCCCGCGGCCCGGGCCCGGTCACCGCCTCGCTGGGCTCGGCCCCTTTGCTCGTAGGGGCACGGGGAAAGGCGGTGTTTTTACCGCGGAATCGCGGCCGTGCAGCGGTCAGTTCGGTCGGTTCGCTCTCTCCGGCCGTGCTGCCCCCCCCCGTGTTAATCCCGGGTTTGTGTCATTGCCGGTTCTGTGCACGTGTGCCGTGCTTGTCCGCCTTGCAGCCTGCGCTCCTGAGCCTCCCGAGCCTGCAGAACGGCTGTCGTGGGGTGCCCGAGTAAAGTTCCTTTCTTTTCCGGCAGAAGCGGTGGCTGTGCATTGGTGGGCGCCGCTCCGTAGCGCTCTTTGCCGCAGATGTTGGCGTTTGCTAGGCAGGGGGGCAGCCAGGTGAGGCTCGGCCTCCTCTGCCCGGCACTCAGCAGTCGGACAGGAGGGCACAGTCTGAACGTGTGCCGGGGGAGGTTCAGGCTGGACATTTGGAGGAATTTATTCCCAAGGTGGGTGATGAGACATTGGAATGGACTGCCCATGAAGGTAGTGGGGTCGCGGTCCCTGGAGGTGTTTAAGGAAAGACTGGACACTGGACGTGGCACTCAGTGCCTTGGTCTGGCTGACAGGGTGATGTTTGATCTTTCCAACTTCATTCATCCTGTGAAACCTGAAATTTCCCCGTGGAAATAATGCATACTGAGAAATACTTTTCAGTCCTCAATGAAAATAAGGGGACAGTCAAGTTTCCTAGTAAAACAGAAGTATCTTTCATGCACCTTCAGTGGTATGTAATATTCAATGAAACTTTTAAGCAGCACATGCTGTAACCACCACAATGTGTAATTAGCCTAAGTGTGACATGTGAACAGTACTAACAGTATATAGATAGTGTGGCAGCAAATAACTTTATAAACAGGGAATTGCTCAGTTCTTAGGCTTTTGGAGCAGAACTTTGTTTTTAAGTTATATGTATGTTGAGCTCTGTGTCTTTGGGGCTGGGCAAAGCCTGTACTGTTACTTGAAAGAGGAATGTTAAATACTAAATTGGGTGAATGAGAAGTGCTCAATCTATATAGCCACCAGTCTCTGTCCCCCACACAAATATTTTGTGCTGGTCAATTATTCAGCAGTGCAACTGCTTTCCTTTGCCTGTCATTTCCATGGGAACTGGCCAGACACTTGTCTGGTCTTGTGGCTTCTTTCTAAGAATAGTTGTTGTCAGGTGATTGAGAAAAAATAAAGTTACAGATGTTGAACATGGGATAGTCACAGGTGTTAAACATGGGATAATTCCCTCTACCAAATTAGGTTCCCCTGTGATTTCCTGTGGCTGAGCTTGACTTAAACCTTGAAGCTGAATGCTTAAGTACCTTTAACATGACTTGTTTTAAGAGGGCTCTGGCTGCTTTTGATCATACCCTGAATAAAAAGTCCATCTCTTTAATACTTAATGGTGTCTTGTGGCTTCCTGTAGCAGTAAGTACCAGTTTCAACACGTGAAAAATGCTTTCATCTCTGTGATTTATCTCTGAGCTGCTATACTGTGAGATTAGATAGAAGTTCTGGAGCCTGCAGTGTTGCAGGGAAATGCTTCCTGTATGGTATAAAATGCTTATGCTTTGGGTTTTGGTTTTTTGGGTGATTCCCTCAGTCTGTTAGCCAGCAGTGCTCTGTGTGCTGTGGGCTAGCAGTGTCCTGGTCTGCTGCTGCAGCTCAGCCCTCCTCTCCCTTTGGGCAGCCCCATCTGAGGTGTCCCAGCAGTGCTGTGGTGGCAGGTGACAATAACGATGGCAGGAGGCAGGAAGGCCTCCCTGGGTTGGTGTCATTTGTTGTGTTATTCAGTGGGTGAGCAAACAGAAGGAACTGCCATAGGAACAGGCTGTGAGCACATCAGTTACCTAAAGAAAAGGACTGCTGGAGGTTGGGTGAAAATGCACTTTAGAATGGAATGGAAGCACAACCTTTCACTCATTATTATTTATACTCTGCATGCAGCTTGGGGCACCTGTGTGTCAGAACAGGAGCTTTTAGGCTTGACAAGCTCTCTGGAACTCTGCTGTCTTTCAGTACCATGTCATTCTTGAGTACTCCAAGATTTTTAAGTGAAATAAGTCAGCACATTGGTTATTATTTTGGGCCCTCTCTGGAGTGCAGCTCAGTGTCAAATAAGGAACTACAAATGAATCTCATGGAACTGAGTGGTAGAAAATGAGTAAGTCTTACACAATAGGTGCAATGTTTGCTTTGTATGTTCAGGAGGAATTGCTGTTATGAGGATAGTCATGATCCAGAATAATGTTTATGGCTGCAGTAATACACTTCCCTAATAGTTATCTGCAGGATAACTTGTATTAACTATTCTGGTCAGCTGGTTTCAAGCTGTTTTGGGTTTAAAAAATTGTTTTCCATGGCAACTTACAGTTTTGTTTACTAGCCTTTATTTAAAAAAAAAACAAAAAAACAAACCAAAGAAACAAAACCTAAAAGGAATTAAAAATACACCAAAAAAACCCACCCAAAAGCTAGCTTTCCTCACCCCCTTCCAAATTCATCTGCTGAGTTTTGACTTCCACAGCTTGCATGTGGTCACTTATGCTGGCCCTGTGTTCACAGCTGTGTCTTGTGCAGAGGCTGCTGGTGCACCTGGGGGTGAGAGCTCTGTCCCTTCTCCACTGCTCACCTGCTGCCTCATTGCTTCAGAGCAAAAAATGAGCAAAGCAAAGCTCTTCTCATCAACTTTCTGTGTTTTCTACAACATGTGCAGTGTTTCTAGTGTGGGTATAGCTCAGACACATCTAAAGTCTAAATAGCTGCATAATTGAAGCTATAAATGGCTCCTCTTGTGCTCAGGCAGGGTTTGTACCTTACTGTACATGTAGCTGACCAGGCAGGATGTTCTGTGCTGCTGCTTTTGCCCAGGTCAGTGTCTTCCACTTCCAAACTGATGTTCAGGATTGTTTTTGTAGATGGACCTAGGACTCCACAGATGCTTTTTTGATAAAGTAACACTTGAAAATATCATCTTATGTTACTAGGCTGGTAATTTAAGTGTAAGATACAGAACATAAACAGCTTTATTCAACATGGACTCTGACAGAGCTGTGTTCTGATTCATTGTGTGTCCTGCTGGATCTCACTGGTTGGCTTTTGCTGTATGTTCTTTCCTTCATTTGCCTTTTGTCACCACATCCTCAAACTTCAGGCATGTGTTAGTAGCATATGTGTATCTTGATGTGATCTTGTGTATCATGATAATAACCAGGTTATGTTTGGGAACCCCTGCAGTTCTAAAGCTGAAAGTAGCTTGCCTTCTGAAGTTGGAAGAAAAGGGTAAGCTGATGCATAGTCAGACTTGGAAAAATAAAAGTTGGAACTTGTTCACTAGTGCTGCTGTTAAGATATTTTCTATGCCTACAGAAATAAAGCTGGTACAAGCAACCCCTCAAGTGACACCTCTGCTCCTGTGGTGTGCTTTTGACAGCAGTGTAGGTGATTGTGCTACGCCTGCCACTGGAAAATGCTTGCAGTTGTCTTTTCTTCAGACATGGAGTAGAGTGCCCTTGTAGTAATTTAGTCTGGTAACCTTCTCAGTCTTCAAATCAACACACATACAAATTGAGTTTTCCTCCTTCTTAATTCTCTGTATCTTCGAGAGGTACAGAAGAAATAAATTAATATCTTGTGTCAATATGGAAATGCTTCTGTTGATGAATTCAGTACTTAGTCCCAGTGTTGAGTACAGTGTGGGACCTGGCTGTTCAAATTTAGAGCAGAAGTGAAAGTATTCTCTGTCTTCTGTTAATGCAGACAGAGCTTGATGTAAAGCTGACACCATAAATGAATGAAACTCCAATTTCCCCCCAGCTGCTGCTAAACTACAGTGGCTAAAGTTCTCTAAGAAGATACAAATGTTTCTGCTAGGTTCATAGCTGGTATAATGAAAAGGATAGTTCTGAACTTGTAGCCATGATTCTATGTTGTTTGCACACCAGAAGTAAGGAAACCAATGCATGTGGACTCAGCCAAATACTTCCTGGGCTTGTAGCAAATATGTGTTTGTTTCAGTAATGCTTTGGCTTGGTGTTGCTGTTAAAAAGCCTTGTTTTCACAGCCCTGCTTGCAGTGTTTTATGTGGCTTTAGGCTGAACCAGGTAAATGGTAATCCATTAATCAGCTGGGTTTGTCTCACAGCTTTTTAGAAGGTTTAAATGCTCTCCCAGCACTGTGTGTCCCCATGAACAGCTGGGGTGGAGGAGCAGGGCTGGTGGCTGTGTGAGCTTAATGCCCATCAGGACGGGGGGCCTGGGAAGGTGTGGTCAGTGTTGGCATTGCTGCACTGTTCCTGGCTGTGCTTTAACAGAGATCTGATGTGGTCAGAGCTTATGGCATTCAGCTCTGTAGTGATTTATTTCCTCTAAAGCACTGGTATGGATTCAGGGGACTGTAGAGTGTAACCAGTGTTCTGGCATAGACATAATTCAGCAAGTCTGCAGTGTGATGTTCTGATATTGATTACTGCACACTAGTCCCTGCACTGTCATTTTGTGTTCCTTAAAAGTCTGATCTGCCATTGAATAATTA